ACCTGTCACCTAGGACCTGTTTGCCTTGGGAAACCTTACCAGGGGCATATAGCCCCTGAAAACATAGCTCCTAGGATCACTTGGGTACTCAAACACCTCCACCACAATAAGGTGGCGGTTCAAGGAGGGGCCTTACCAACATCTATAAACAAAATCAGATACTGTTTTTCATTTTCAAATTGGTTGCGAAGTACATGGACTGACAGATGTTATAACCATCACGCCACTAGTACTGGGATTCCAGCAGCTGTGTAAAAGGAACAAAGGAGCAGTACTTTGCTAGTTTATTTAAATTTTTTTAAAAGCAGCCTTGAAGGAGGGACAAAATGCCAGCATTTTGCCATACTCTGTAAAAGGGGCTATTATGTAGTTAGTTTCCCAAAAGTAAACCAACATTCAAAAACCACTTACACCCGTCCTACTTCAATAATCATTAAGACAGTAATCAGCAGTCAGGTGTTACTAATCAAATGCCCAGGATTAGTCAATAGACCTAATTTCACAGCAGACAACTGAGTTGTCACAGTAGAAAAATCCTAAGTGTAGCTAACATTAACAATGACTGAGTTCCATTAAGTGTCCCACTAAACAATGTCACTCAGCAAGCATGCGTAATACCATGCTCCTGAAAATGGCTCACAAAGCCAGTTGAGGCTGGCTCCAAAAGGGAGTCAATCCCCATAGACTCCCATGTTAAAATGCCCAACTTTACAGCATAAACAAACATGTTTATAGCCTGGCAGGATCATAAGAGAGCTGTGCATAAATGAATGCCCTCAAACATCAATGAACTGAAGCATTGTTGTAGAAAAGATTGGGTCAAAACTTCTCCAAAATTATGTGAGAGACTGAAAACACCTACAGAAAATGTTTACTTCCTTAGAAGGGGGCTGTGTTGGGTTTGTTTTTTTTATAAGTGGACTCTTGGCATCAGTTTTACCTTTTTGCCGTTTTTTGCTTGTAATCATGAAGCGATGAAAAGGCCCGATATTGTCTTCAATATTAACGCCATCAGTGAAATCAAGCTGTTCATCAGTGTAATAGCCTGGGTAAAAAAACTGTCTCTGTCTGGTTGTCTTGGTGCACAGTGACCTGTAGCGCTGTCCAGAGGGGAGGAGCTCAAAGAGTTTGCATCCAGGGAGTGAGGGGTCTGCAGAATTCCTCTCTGCCCTCCTTTTGACTTGTAAGGTGCACAGGTCCTCCATGGTGGCTGTGGCTCATGAGGTAGGGCAGTCGTCTCCTGACCAGCAAGTTGGTGGTTCGACTCCCGGTCTCCCCGCATGCCTAAGTGTCCCTGAGCAAGACACTGAACCCCGAATTGCTCCTGGTGGCTTGACTAGCGCCGGTGCATGGCAGCTTGTCGTCCTCAGTGTGTGAATGTTGTGTGTGAATGGGTGAATGGTGTATCATCTCTGTAAAGCGCTTTGGCCAGTGCAACACACTGTGAGAAAGCGCTATATAAAATACAGTCCATTTACCATTTACCATTCCTGAGATGACTCAGGAAATACATCCTCTGCTGTACCTTTATAATAATGGCGCTGACGTTGGTTGTCCACTTGAAGTCCCGAAAGATTGTGGAGCCCAGGAACTTGTATGGCTCCACGACTGAAACAATGCTGCTGGGTATAGTGAGCGGAGATAGGGTGGGAAGCTCCTCTTAAAATCCACTATCATGTCCACTGTCTTCCGTGTGTTCAGCTCCAGGTTGTTACGATCACACCACAGGGCCGGCTGTTCAACATCCTGTCTGTAGGCTGACTTGTCACCGTCATTAATGAGGCCGAAGACTGTTGTGTCGTCTGCAAACTTCCGTATTTTTAAAGAAGGGTCTCCTGAGGTGCAGTCATTAGTATAGTGGGAGAACAACAGCGGGGAGAGCACACATCCCTGGAGGACACCTGTGCTGATAGTCCGGGTACTGGATGTGGTTTGCCCCAGCCTCACCTGC